TGTTATTGATTGTGCAATTTCTGTTGATTACTTGTTTAATGTTGTAACTGGTAAAAAAAAAAAGTAACACAATTTCAATTCTCTGTATGTTTTGCACATATGAAGCATTGACAATTAAACTACTTGAATCTTGAATATGTGTGTGTGTTTGCTGTACATAAAAAAACTGTCACAAAAATATAATTAACTTCTGCTTTATAAGAAACACTTCAACCAATTTATCAAAATCACTTAATCACTCCTTCATCTCACCATTGATAGTATTTAAAGTATTATTTGTTGTGCCACATCACTTGTATCATGATCAATTTGTTAACAACTTGTCCTCACATCAGCTAAATGCTAAAGTAAACAACAGCTAACTAACCAAATGTGTGAAATAAGAACTTAAAATAGTGAAAGTTTGAGTCTCCCGTCCAGAAGCTAACAAACTTGAATTATATTGTGAGGTAATTTGGGTTTTCATCCTTTAGCACACGGTTCAAAAAGCCACTCGCTTTCATCACGATTGTTAGCATGCTATGCTAAAAACAATAAACAAGTTCGGATCAAAAAGCTCCAAACTGYGACTAACTTACCACACTTGACAGGAAGAAATAAAAAAAGTGCAGACCCAGATATTAGATGACGTTTGTGTTGTAAATGGCCTCTAAGATGTTGCTTTGTCTTAAAWTTTCCAGACAAAGCAGCTCCTTTTCATTATCTCAATAATATCCATCTGCAGACACACCGTATCATTCCGTCCCAAGGTCTTTCTGCAGCGGCTTTTCTTCTTCTACTTGGGATTTCTTGTTGGAAAATAACAATTTGATGCATTACCGCCGCCAACTGGTGAAGGCGCTTAAAAAACCTGAATCCCTTTCAACAAATAACGTTTCAGTGTTTATGCGTATATGCTTTATTTATGAACATCATGGACATGACAAAACCTGTCAATCAAGGAAGTGGGCTTAGACCTTAGAGCATGTGACACGCCCACTAGCTGTAGGAGCTCACCGCTGATTTGTCGACAATCTCCATTAGTTTAGAGTAAATTTTCATTACAAACGCTGTGACTGTGTATAGATAATTTTGTGAAACGTCTTCTAAAAAAACTATTTAATCGTGAGGTTATAGAAAAAAAAATCAAAAGTTAAACGTGTAGTATTCTGCGGAACCTTCGCTTGTCCATCTGTTGCTCCGGGGACCAATAAACAAACAACACCCCGGTGGAACACCGGAAAAAAAAATGTGAGTGTCGGTGAACTTGCCTTGCAAAGTCATTAGTAGGCAGCAGATTTTGTATGTCGATATAATTTGAAACTGTATTTGTTGTTTTTGTCTGTAAAAGTTTTCTCTGAGATGATTCAAGCTTTGAAAAGCGTCAGACACATGACATCCGGAACAATAAAACAGACAGGTAACTACTGTAAATATTCGTGTTTTATTCTCTTAAAATCAACGACAGCTATATCTTAGGAGGGCGATAATGACAGGAATAATGATTACTTGAAAGTACATTAAAAATAATTATTGTCAATTATATAAATTGCCTAAAAGGATATTTTGTTAGAAAAGTACTTAGAACATTTTGATTAAAAAAAAAACCCTCAAATGAATACATTCGGATAGAAAGAACCAAATCTTTATATTTACGATTCTCTAAATGTATTTTTTCTTTTGGTTAAACATTTAATAAGATTTTAAAACATTTTACTTGGTAACTAACATTTGTAATTCTTTGGTATGATTTTAATGATGAACACTTGAATCTTTTCCTAAAGAGAGTTAGATGTTGTTGCTGTGTTTTATACTTTATCAGCAGCTATGTTAATTGTCATTTGAAGACATTAAATCTCCTTTTTCCCATATATATTTTCAGTTCTGATAGTACGTTTAAGTATCAGACATTTTAATTTGTAGCTGGGACAATAGCTCTCAAAAAACAGATTGGAGTGACGTTAATGTTTCAACTTAGGGATTTCTTATTTAAACGAAAGGGTGTCATGTCTCCACACGCAATGCAGCGTTAACCCCTCTTATCAGGAGCTTGTACAACCATTTACAGCTTAAACGCTTCACATATTGTTTCGTTAGTAATGATTTCGCAACTGACWAAACCATAAAACTACTCACGGGATGGGCAGATGTGATCCAAAAACTGACTWTAATCTAGAAATTTTGAGATCCTCACATCAGGTTTTAGATCATACCAGGATCTGCGTGTTCACTCCTAACAAATTTCAGCTTTACTTGTCAGTACACAAGTAGCAGGTCATGAAGACAAACAGGAATCATGGGGAAACTTGTAGCTTGGGGGCTTGGCAACAACAATGGGGGCTGTGAAAGCAAGGTGGTCAGTGTTGCTTTCACATAATTCCAAGGCTGCAGGTTAAAGCCCAGGTCACATCAAAGTTACAGATCAAATACGAACTGAAGTTTAACACAAATCCCCTAAATACAAAGATAAGTCCCCACATTGATAAGTTTGTTTATTAGTTCAAAAATCTTTTGTGGGTAGGTGTGTTTAAATTAATTCAGCATTATAATGTTTAAAAGTTTCAGAGCTCTCTATACCACTACCTTGGGGAGAAATCAGAGGCAAAATCTGGGGTCCAGATCATGGCCGTCCGGTTCTGTGCCTCCATGGCTGGGCGGATAACTGTGGAACATTCAACACCCTCATTCCCCTTCTACCCAAAGGTACTTCGTAACTATGATGACACAATCTGAAAATGACTCTTTGTTTTCTCATTTATGAGCTTTTTTTTCTTATATTCTGCCAGCTGTGTTTAATGTGCAACAAGTTTAGAGTAAAAAAAATCAATCTAGTGAAAGAATGCTGCACGGCACAGTGTTTGATTCCCTCCGTCTTCCCTCCATGCTTCCATCAGACTTCAGATATGTGGCGATGGATCTGCCGGGTCACGGCTGCTCATCACATCGTCCGCCTGGAATTCTGTACAGCTTTCTCTCCTACGTGATGGATGTGCGCAGAGTTGTTGACGGTGTGTGAGCTGCGATGCTTTCTTTAAACTAAAGTGATCTCAGTGTTTTATAATGACGTCCTGAACTGGGTTGATGACGTGTGAAATAACCTCCACAGCTCTGCGGTGGAGCAAATTCTCCATCATCGGCCACAGCATGGGTGAGTGCAGCTACTGAGCAGATCTGAAGCTTTAAAAGGTTCCTGTTCTGCTTTATTGACTTCTGATTTTGGCTTTAGGTGGCAACATAGCTGGGACGGTAAGCCTCTTACTGTATTTTTATTTACATATGGAGGAAACGTATCTGCTTTGTGTCATCATCATGCATATGGTGTGTTTTACAGTTCAGCGCTGTTTACCCTGAGATGGTGGACACTGTTGTACTGGTGGACTCCTTTGGATTTTTACCTACAGACTTGGTACTGTTTATCCTACTTGGTATTATTTTCAAATAGTTTTATCTGTAGCTCTCCGATAGACATTTTTAACTTTATATTGCCCATGTGCATGCTCTTAACTCAAAGTTTAGGAACCCTGAGTTATTCAACGTCGGTGTCCTCAGCCTTTTTGGAACTGAAAACCTCGTTTCTTTGATCGGGGTAACTCAGAGTTGACGGACATCTCTGTTAAACCTTTTTTGGTGGAACAACCCCAGATCTCACAAGATTTTTATTTTAAACCTATGTCTGTTTGGATTGCCATTCCAGTCACCAAAAACTCTGTTTGTGCAAAGTTGTTTGTTAATTTTGTTTAAACCATGAATGCATAGTCACTTGTACACATTATGTTGTATTTGTACAGAACGTATTTTGAATATATTTCAACACTCTCAGTGCTAGCACACTTAAAATATTTGGTAGAACTCACTGTTTCAGACCAATAAGGCTGAGTAATTTGCTAAACAGTATAATTTCACAATGGTTTAACATCCAACAAAAAAACTGTGCAAAAATGTTGGACTTTTAAATAAAGTAAAACATATTTTAGAATTATCAACACTCCAGGCATTATTTTATTCATTTGTTACTCCATATCTGACTTATTGTATAGAGGTGTGGGGCGACACATATAAAACCAACACTAAACCTTTTGTTTGTCACACAAAAGAAAGCCATGAAAATTCTATATAAAGTGAATGCTAGAGAACATACAAATAAATACTTTATTCAATCAAATCTTGAAACTACTGGATGTAGTTAATTTAAAAATGTTGTTATGTTCAAAGCGAGAAAGACATTATTGCCAGTTAATTTACAAAAGTTTTTTTGTCTTAAGCTCAGGTAACAGAAATAACCGAAGGGCGTAGGATTTCAAAAGTAAAACTGTGCGTGCTGCTTTAAAGCAAATGTGCATTTTGGTGTACGGAGTAAAATTATGTAACGGTTTGGATGACGACTTGGAAAAAAAGTTCTACCTTAAACCAACTCAAAACACTTTATAAAGAAAAATAATTAAGTCTTAAACACGTTTGAGTTAACTTTGAGGATAATGATATGTTGTTTCCAGTTTCTATTCTTAATTTAATGTATGCGGCTATGAAAAAAACATTTTTAATTATTGAGAAAGGAATAGATTTCTGCAAGATTTTTATTCTTCCTGCTTYCTTTTCACTCAAGTCGAGTAAGTGTTATAAGAAAATGTGTTTGTATGTTAATGAGGAAAATTGTTAAATTGAGTGAATAAACGTATTGATTAACATTAAAATAAATCAGTGTTTTTAAAGGTTGATCTCTTGGAAGTCCTTCCACAATAGGATGGAGCTCAAATATTTATCAGACCTGGTGAAATCACAGCCTTAGGCTATCAAATTGATGGTGATGATACTTCCTTGTCAGTGAGCCTCAATGTCCTCTTCAAATATTACCTGCAGTAGATCAAGTCATCATGTAGCTCACGCAGTGAGTTTAGAGTCAAGTCGTGCTCCCCTGGAAATTTTATCATGATAAATAAAGACGTTTCATCTCCTATCAGGTGACTTGACTCTCAGACATGAGTTCCAGCGACAGTGAGATATAAAAACATTAGGTGTATGATTGTTTTTTGGTGCAAGGTGTGTATTAACTAAGTGGATTTGTTGATTACTCAGAAACCTTCTAAAACACGAAAAGAATCACAGCAATAGACGAGATGATCGCAAAATATTCTAAACATCTCAATAAAAATATGTACATACAAAGTGCATTTAAGACTCAATCGAATATCTTACAATTGTCAATCTGTTTGTTTTCAGAAAGAGCTGCCAGAAATCCTGAAGCAGGGGATGGATGGGATGTTAGAGATGGAAAAGCAGAGTAAAGAAAAGCCACCAAAGGTTTATAGCTATGAGAAGGCTGTTGAGAGGTACATCCTTCTGCCTTTTTATTACAGCAGTTGTTGATGTCAGCTTTGCACACACTCACCCACTATGTGTTCGACATCCAGGCTCATGGCTGGAAACGAAAGTCTGACTGAAAAGTCTGCAAAAATCCTTTTAGAGCGAGGCCTGGTTCAAGTCGAAGGAGGTAAAAATGTTCTTTTTTTTTTCATTTCAAATGTGTTTTTCTTTCAAAACGCAGAAGCTGTGACAGATTTTTCTGTTGCAGGTGTGGTATTCTCTCGAGACATGCGTCTGCATTTGGTACGTTGCGGTTCAGTGTTGTCATTCCACACTTTATGCAGCTGATGACGTTTTGTTTTGTGTGTTTTCAGAGAAACATTGTTCGCTTCAGTTTGGAGCAAAATCTGGATTTTCAGTCAAGAATTGAAGCCTCGGTTCTAGTTGTTCTGTAAGGTTTTCTGCATTGTATTCATGTTTGTTGTTGCTGTGTGTAATTTAAGAATAACCTTCACTAAAAGTGCCTTATTTGTGTTTACAGGGCAGAAGGTGGATTTGGAAAACTATTAAGTGAAGACGATAAGAAGAAATTTCTGTCACAAATTATTCAGGGCTACAAGGACAAAAATGTGAGTGATTTTTTTCCCTTTTTGTCAAGTATATTTGATATATTTGTATATTTTTGTGTTTTAGTTTTTGCTGAAAGATCTGTTTATCACCTGCTTTTGATAAAACCCAATGTTTTTATTTGTGTGGGTGCATTTCTCTGTTAGCAAGTCTTGCGTTCATTCATTGTACACCATTCTGATGGCTTAAAACTGTAAAACAATGATAATCTTTGTCAAAGCAGCTATTTGATTTTAAAACATTATACAATTGTAAAGTTGTCGAGTTGTGAGAATTAAGATCACATGATTGCAGTCTTCAGTTTTGCCACTAGATGTCAGTGAATTCATAGTCTTAGAAGCTCCTTTTTCTGTGGAGTAGTTTTGTTTTTCAGCACCTCTGTCTCTGTTTCAGCACACGGTGGTGAGCGTTCCAGGCAATCATCACGTCCACCTGAATAATCCTGAAGTTGTTGCTCCAGTCGTGTCAAACTTCCTGATGAGCGAACTGCTTACTCAATCAACGAGATCAGATGTTCATACTTCCAAATTATAGGAAGCACAGACTAGTATTATTCATTGAACACAAATCATTTCAAACTACTAAATTTAACAACTTTTAATCTGTAGTTGTGAGTTTTTTTATTACCACAGCATTATTTTACACTCACTTTTGTGCCAAAATCTCATTTGTCTAATTGCCTTAGCCATCGGGTTCACACTTCAAGTGTTTAATGAGCTGTATAAGCTGCAGTCCCATTAGCCAGGAAACAATAATGTCTGTTAATCAAAGGTTCAATTTTGAATTTTCTATGTTTACAAGAGTTTGTTTACAAGTGTTTGTACTATTCTTAGCGTAAGTAGTCATCAGTAATCATCTTAAAGTTACTTTTCAGTGTCTGATAATTAAACATCTTCACATCAAAATAACAGTAAATTCATTGTTACTGTATAAAAATTTGTACTTTTCAAAGTGATACAAACTTCTTCTTTTTTTTTTGGAAATTATCAAATTCCTAAAATGTAATTTCTCTTAGGATATATCTTTAAATAAAAGGAGTTTTAGCTCTTTAGTGGCATTTAACATGATAGGAAACAAAACTATTTTTGATTTATTATAAAACAAGTCAGAACTTTTAAGGTCTGTAAAGTTTGGAGAAAGAAATGTTTTGAATTTAAAGCTCATTAACAGTTGTGAAAATAGCAGATTATAGCATCTTTTAGCAGTCAGAGAGGGCAAACTTAACTCTTCACGTAGCATTAACATCAGCTACAGTAGCTAAAAGGAGTGAATCTGTGGATGGATCAACATGATCTGGTCTCAGCTGTCAGTTTTTTTTTTCTATGAAAATATTTTAGTGCCTTTAATGTATTTTGACCTTCTGACTGCAGACGCATTGAGGAAATTCATTTTGCTAGCAGTCATAAAATAAAAGTCTCTGCTCTTGTTTTTATTCTGGCCTTTTTTGTATTTTTGAGTTCTGAGGTGCGGCATTTAAAATGTATTTTATTACATTTTATTTCCAGGCTCTGTAAAATATACATCTAGTAGGTGTTCTTTAATCATTTTCTGACTTTAATTTGCTTTTAATTACTTTTTAAAAAAAATTGTCCATTTTTGAGTTAATATAGTAACAACTTTGAGATGTATTTTAAAAACTTTTTTTTTGTCTTCAAAACTCTTTCACAGAAAAACCAGTGCGTTTGACTGTGAGAGCATCTTTCTGCATAAACGATCTTTGGCAGACGTCCATTATTTTAGCAGACATTACGTCAAAAAAATGTTCAGCAGCTATATGTTAACAATTTATTCGTTTTTATAGGGTTTATTTAGTGAAAAATTTTAACTATTTATTACTATTTATGCTTCATGTTACTGTTTTTGAAGTCGCGTCGCGGAAAAGTGACGTATGAAACGCGCCAAATTCAAAATGATTGAGTTAGACAAAACTTAGCTTTTGCACGGATACGAGACTGCAGTTCTGTGTTTCGACGATGCAARGGAGACTCAAACGGAACAAAAACATTAAGGACTCTGTGACTAAAGACCAACAAACCGAGGTAATCGTGTTGTCGAGCTGCTCCGAAGATGAACAGCACCCAGAGAGGAGGACCTGCGGGGCGGGTTTGAAAACTGCACCAATTTTCCTCCGTACGAACCAACTCAGGAGGAGAAATCGAAGCTCCAATGGGGAGTCTGATCGACAGGCTGTACACAAACCAGTGCTCATTCCTCCTGATGTGGTGAGAAGTCCACCCGCAGTTTCCAAAGGACCTGAAGTGTCCTCCTGGAGTGGACACCTGCTGCCATCATGTTTGCGAAGAAGTGTCCTGGAAGAAATCCGAGCATCAAACCCAGCTTTTCCACTTCACACAGTTTTCAGCAGTTTGCAGAACAAAACGGGTCCAAGGCTGCAGGACTTGGGGTCTTCAGGTGAAACTGATCCTCAGTCTTTTTTACCTGCTTGATGGAGTTTTCTTATATTGCATTTAAACGATAAAAGCAGGTGAATTCTAAATATTAATGAGATGTTTTGTATCTTATCAACTTGAAACCTCTCCCCACAGACTTCTTACAGAAGAGCTTAAACAAGAGGATGCCAAAGCGTCTGAGGTCCAGTCTCTGTGCAGAGGCTGGGACAGGATTCTGTCCACTGTCAGGACAGGGTGTCCAGGAGAGGACTGTCCTCAGTGGAAAGAAGCAACCTGGCAGCAAACTGAGTCGCAGCCACAGGCTGGAGCATCAGAGGATGGATCAGACGGAGTTGGACACAGCCTCTGCTATGATCCATGGAGGTAGAGCTCTTCATCATGTTTTCTGCTTTTATCAGCTGTATAATATGAACCTTTTTCTCTTTGTTTTAGATGTCTGCTCTGGTGAACGTCTTTGGACGGATAAATACAGTCCTCGACATTCAGGTGAAGTCATTGGTCATTCTGCCTCGGTAAACAAACTGCACAGGTAAAACTTGTGTTAGCTTCTCGTGTGTTTTTTTATTTCTTGTTCTGAGTTTTGACATGAGGACAGTAACCATTCTTTTCTTTTGTTTTCTGAGATCAGCTGGTTGAAGAAATGGAAACTTAGAGCTGACAGTGACGAGAGGAGGAAAGCAGAGGAAAGGAAACGAGAAGAACTCGCGTTTCATATTTCTGGTTTTGACTCATTTTTTTAATGTACCTTCATGAAAAATCAACATAAGTTGGACTGAAAACAGTCCTGTTTTTTTGTTGTTAAAAAGCACAATGACACTCTCCTTTCCAGATTCGTGGGACTGTGGAGACTTCCAGGGAGAGGCTTTATTGGATACTGCAGAGGAGGGACTATTGCGTAACGCCGTGCTGCTTACAGGACCCCCGGGCGTGGGCAAGACTGCCTCAGTGTATGCCTGCGCTCAGGAGCTCGGCTTCAAGGTGGGAATTCAAAATCAGTTCATCATCTATCGATTTACCTTTTCCTCAATGCTCATTGGACAACACCAACATTTGCACATTTATTTAACCCACTTGCAGATTGCAGTAAATATTTCCTGCAGTGGAGTTATCATTGAAACACCTGAAGGTGTTCAGACTACTAGACACTGGGCTTTAAAGAAGAAAGTTAAAGTATGTTAGAATTAATATTTCCTCAGAAATCCTGTAGTTTTAAATGCTTTCTTTTCTTTTTGATGATTTAATGGAACCATATTCATGTTTGTTTTGGCTGGTTTTATTGTAGTAAGCTTATTTCCATTATATGTATGTATTATATAATGTTCTTAGTTTTGCTTTTAAATGTTTGTTTCATATTCTTATAATTATAGAACTTTATTATCTCAGACAAAAAATTGTCCACAACGTTAAAAAATAATAATAAAAACACGTCAAGAAAATAAGAAAACAATAGAAGAAAAAGAAAAAAATATATAAAAACATTCATCAAAAAACATTCTTATTCTTAATTCTTATTTCCTTTTTGAATGTGTAAACTAATTGTACTTACTGCTGCCCGTTTTGGCCAGGACTTCCCTGGAAAAAAAAAGGTTTTTAATCTCAATGGGATTTTTTTTTCTGGTAAAATGAAGGTTTAATAATAATAATAATAATAATAATAATAATGAACAAATTGTTCCGAGTTGATTTAGCTCTTTCGTTTTCAGCTTTTCTAACCTTTACAGTCAAATCCTCCTCCTTTCCTTGAACATCAGATCCACTGTTCATTTTCGCCGCTGCTTTTCGACGACAGGTGTTCGAGGTGAACTGCTCGTCGCAGCGCAGTGGCCGGCTCGTTCTGGCTCAGCTGAAGGAGGCCACCCAGTCTCACCTGGTGGAGGCGTCTGGAGAAGGTCCACTAAAACCAGCGTACTTCAACAATTACAGCACCAACAGCTGCACTCCTAAACCCGAGGCTTTACTTGGTAGGATGTGGTGATTAAAAACTATTTAATTGTAACTGTTAAATGCTCAGAAACACAACGAGGACTTGGTTTAAATGTTTACTGTTTTTTTTTTCTTAACAGGAAAACTGCAGCTTCCTCGAAGTGCCCCGCTTGCCTTGAAAAGAAAGGCAGCTCGTAACTTGAGCTCACGCAGTCGCAGAAGAGCCAAAGCTGAACCCGCGGACGTCACTTTGGCTCACTACTTCAAGATGAAGCAGAAAGCGGATCACTTCCACGTTTCTGGCATTTCCCAGTCTGGACAATGCGAGTGGAAGAAAGCGACAGCCAACACACTGCAGGACTGTGATCAGGCGGCGCCGCGGAGCACAAAGACGGCCACGTCTCTCATCCTGTTTGAAGAGGTACGAGAGGCGGCGGAGATCACGTATCTGAGCACTCAGCTGTTTTATTTTAAATTTTATCTTCTTTCTCCTCCAACAGGTTGATGTCATATTTGAGGAGGACGTTGGTTTCCTTGCAGCCATCAAGGCTTTCATAACGACCACTAAAAGGCCGGTTATTCTGACCACCAATGGTAACAGTTTTATTATCAATGCAGGGAAGTGTTTTCAGGTGAAAAAACTCACGAGGGTGTAAACATCTCCACAGATCCCTCTTTCAAAGAGAAATTTGACTGCAGCCTGGAGGAACTCATTTTCAAAACTCCTTCAGCAGTGAGTTATTTAATATCTCTATGAAAACTGTGTGGTGAGTTGTAAAAGTATGCACCCCCTCTGTTTTATTTCCTTACAACCTGAAATTTAAATGGATTTTCAGTTTGATTTTTATTATCAAACCTGCACACAAAAAAATAAATCCAGATACTGAAAATGGTGGAATTATTTTTTTTAAATAAAAAAAATATAAAGCTGAAAAGTGGTGTGTGCCTGTGCAGAGACGTCTTTTTCAGCAGCTATTTGAACTTTTATCCATTCTTCATGAATAATCTTCTGCTGCAGCTTCTTTAGGTTAGGTTTATTCTTATTGTTTTAAACTGTTTTATTTTGTTAAAAGCCCACCTGGGGACGTGCATTACAAACTAGCTAAGGCTTTAAATGTTATAGTGTTCAGTATTTGTTATACCCATGTTGTCCACATGCAAATAAACAAGGAAAGAAGAGGATTGGTGTCACAAACCAGAGACTGTCAGCTGGGCTGAGGTCTGGGGTTTGACCTGAACCATTACGAGACATTCAGCTGTTTCTCAGCAGTGAGTCCTTGTCCCGCTGGAAGCTGAACCGTCCCAGTCTCAAATCTATGAAGACTCAAACAGATTTCCTTCRAGACTTTTTCTACCTCTGATCAGTTTACCTTTCTCTGCTGAAGACAAAAAACATCCCCACAGCATGATGCTGCCACCACCATGCTTCGGTATTCTGAGCATAGGAGATGGTAGATTTGCCTCAGATGTTATCCTGGATGGACTAATTTTAGTTTTAGTCCACCACAGACCACAGAACCTTCAATGTTTGAAGAGTCTTGTAAATTTCTTTAAGCAATGGCTTTTTATTGACCACTTTTCCATGAAGTCCAGTTCTATAGCTTATAGTGATCCCATGGACACATTTGGATTTGAGAAAGCCTTTTAGACAGGAAACAAACATCTGCAGCTTCATAATAGAAGTCCAGTTGTTTTTGTTTTTTAGCCTCTTTTATAATGAACTGGATGACTAAGAATCTTCACCAGCAGATCCTCCAGTCTCTGCAGCAGAGCTGCTCAGCTCCATCTGAGTTAGCGTTTTAGCTTCTGTGCGTTCTGTGTTGTTTTCTCCATTAAGCTGCATGAAGAAAAGCAAACTAAACAGAATTGTGTCATGACCCTACCCCCGGTCTGGTTGAAGGTGAACGTGTGCAGCTACCTGCAGCTGGTGTGTCTGGCCGAACAGGTCCGAGCGGACCCRGACGACCTCAGCAGCCTCTTCAGACTGACGTGTGGAGACGTGAGACGCTGCCTGCTGCAGCTGCAGCTCTGGGTTCACAGCGGGGGAGGATGCACCTCTCAGATCGTGGGAAAAAACCAGTCACAGCGTATGTTTCTCTCCTGTTAATCGTATTTCATTTTAAAAAAAACATTACAGCGATTTTCTTTACAGATTCAGAAACAAGTGCAGGAGGTGGTTCAGATCCACAGTTTCCTCTGGTTCAAACAGGTTGTTCTGCCTACATGTTGGGTCTCCACCCTGTAACCCTGAAATATCTTCTAAGCTTCTTAAAGGCAAGCATTTACAGCACTCTTCTGTGTTTACTCCTATGAACAAAGCTGGTCACTACTAACTAAGTCTGCTTTTATTCTTTAGTCTCAGTCTTGGACTCACACAGATGTAGAGAGTCTTCTGAAACTCCTGGCTGAGAGCTGGAGAAGAGACGTGCCTCTTCTCTACACCAACCTGGAGCTCCTTCTGTCCGCTGGAGCTGCTGAAACGGACTCGCAGTTGCAGACTGAGCCCAGACGCTCTGACACGGACCTTCACGCCCAGAAACTGAACCAAAATCCTGTTCCAGAGGGGTCAGTGCCCTGCAGCAAACCTGCCAGGACTGTATCTCGCCTTAGCCGAAAGAGACACGCCATGTTAGCCAAACCTGTAGGAGCGCGGTGTTTAAGTAGCGAACCTGAACTGCAGGCAGCCAGAGTGGCTGCGGACGCTTTAGGTGCCCTGGCAGATTTCTTTGACCTCATGTCTTGTATCGACGCGCTGCCAGACGCAGGACGGCCTGTCTCACAYGGGCGTGAAGCGTTTGTCTGGACCGGAGCAGCAGTAAAGGACGGTTTGCTGGATGAAATCGGCGAGGAGGGCAGAGACAGCAGGAACCAGGAGAGGCTGCAGGATATCAAGGCAGCTGCTGAAGGCTTTGGGTTTCACCAGTGCTGCTGGAGAATGTTTGAGGTGTGGAAATACAAACAGGAGGACAAACTGCTGTTAGCTAGCTCCTCTAAACAACCCAACCTGAGCTTTACAGCCCAGCCTCTCTGGGCATCAAGGTGAGTCACACTGATGGTCCGTCTGAGGCTTTCTGTCTGCCTGTTTTATTCAGTGTTTAATTCTACATTTAATCTACAGCAGGGGCGGAGTGGGGAARCTTTTCAGCCCGGGAGTTTAATGGCCAAGACCGAACCAGTTTTTTTTTTTTCATATAAAAAATTAGGCAAAAACATAGCACTAGCATGTAATATTTTTGTATTGCAATATGGTAAATAATTATAAATAATAAGGAATAATTATTAAAAAACACATAACTGTATGGTTATGTAAACAAAGGCCCAATTGAACATTTTGACATTTGAGTAAACAAAAACTATTACAACTTACTCTTACAGCAGGAGAGTCAAACTCAACACAAGGGGGCCAAAATTCAGAACTTGGTCCAACTTGAGGACCATTTTCTTTCAATTTAATGTTACAAATGACATTTTCCAAATCATATTTTACATAATTTTCAGGACAGACATAACCTAATGAATAAAGAAAAAATATTAAACTTAAAAATACACATTATCATTAATTTCTTATGTTTTACTCCATCATCAACTTTTTCATTTATTTTTTAGATACATTTTGTCACAATTCAGCAAATCAGTTGAAAGAAAACCCTCACTAAAAATCTAATTATTTGACTTTAAAATAACTAATAATAATAAAATAAATAGTACTATTTCAATTAAATGTAATCAGAACTGTAACTTGAAATGATCATGAAAATAATTTGTTTTGCTGTTCTGGGAGGTCTGCGCCCTGAAGGGTTAATGTTCCAGGGAGGAGGGAATAATGATGCGGTCCAGCGGGAATCGTCCCGATTCTCCCGATTACCCACTCCGCCCTTGAAAGTAGCATGAAACAGTTTTAACTGCTGTGATTAAAGATGTAGGTGACTAAATGAACATATCTTTGTTCTGGCGGGAAGACAAATAAATTCATAGTTAAGTTTTTAACAAATATGAAGTTTTTGGATTTGCGYGCAGAAAGAGTTTAAACACCAGTTATTACGTTCATGTCATTGCAAAGTAAAAAAAACTAATTTTTCATTTTTTTTTTGTGATTTTTTTTTAGTTTATCTGAAAGGAGCAGGAAGGTGAGCAGGAAGGTGCTCAGCAGTAAATCCTTCAGCTTGTTGGGGAACCGACAGGCTGTCACTGTCGACTACATGCCGGTCCTTCGCTTCTTCTGTGCACGACAAAAAACAGAACTGGGGAGGTGAGCCTGATGCATCATAGATCCTTCAAAAAGGTTCAGAAATGTGCTTTTATAAATAAAAGGAATCTTTGTAGTTAATAATAAAATAGTCAGATATTGTCTTATATTTGTTCACGTATTAGTTCTGTTGTAAGCCTAATAGTTTTTTTTTTTCAAAGGTTGTATTAAATTAATTCATTTAGAGCACTACAATGTGAAGTTTACATTTTGTAATTGTCAAAATTTGCTCCTTCATTAGGAGTTTGAACCACCGGAGCAGCGCTCACCTGGGCCTCTCTAGATCAACCGTGCAGCTTCTGGCAGAAGATTTCACTCTGAAAAACATTTGGAAGAACACCTAATTCTGACTTATTGTACAGCGATAACCCGATAGATCGTATTTTATATTAATAAAAGTATAACTGAAAAGGCACGCAGCAATGTTATTTCCTGTTAACAAATCATTTCTTATAGTTTGAAATGAATGTTAATGAACTCTCTGAAAGCAACCATTGAATGGACTTTTGGAGTCAACATTAGCCACAGCTAATCCCAGTAAAGACAAAAATGACTAAAACTCAGTCACTTTACTAGATATTGATGAAGTTTTGTGTGGTAGTAGCTTTGTGATTCCCAATATGTATTGTAACAGTTAACAGACTAAGTCTGTGGGTGATATTCACTCTCACTCTCACTCACTGAAAATGTTATTAAGTGTACATAAAAATACTTGACAATATTTAAARCTACTCATTGTGACATGCTTTATTTGTTCAGGTTTGCTTGAGGTATTTTAGGATAAATATTTATTTAAAAAAGTTTTTTTAATAAATAGATATTTTAACAGGAAGATGGTAGAAGGGACAAAACACTCATCAAAGCAGCAGTGGGTCGGTGGTTAGAGCGGTGGTCCTCTAACAAGATGGTCTGAAGTTCAATTCCACCAGCCTGCATTCACAAAGTGTCCCACTGTACGTCTGTTGTCCAATTTGTGCCACATTGATGTACAAATATGATCTAATGATTTGTTCCGATTAAATTTGTAGAGACGTAGGGTCCTGTGTGTGATGATGGGTAAATGAGCAACGCAGATTGATTTTAAGTGTTTTGAGTAGCCTGGTTTGCTAAAAAGAAAAGAAAATGAAATTTAAATATTTTTCAAATGTATTATTCCCCTCAAAATTATTGATGAAAGTTTGAAACTGCAGCTCAGGAGTTTCTGCACCATCCATACATGAGAGCAATCCTGCAGGCGGCTACTAAGAGGAAGGCTGATTGAGCAGTTCGTAAAAAGCCACAGCCTGCAGCAGCGCGTTACTCAGCTCCTCCCCGGTGATCCTGCTGCTCAATTCGAAGTGGTCCCTGTACTGCACCAGCAGCTTCTGGGGGATGTTTATCCGGGGAAACTTTTGTGTCATGGACTCCGTCATCAGCTGTTTCACCGTCTGAGCCCCGCTGGTCCGAGMCTCCCCCAGCATCAGCCCAAAGTGGCGCCCCACCACGCTCCTCGTCACGTTCAGAACCCTGCAAGGGAAAGGGAGTCGTAGATTAGGACCTGAAACGCACCTGTCAAAGAGGAAAAAGCTGCTACTAAAATCCATCCTGAATTATTTTGCTAACACGTGCTATTACATATGATTGTTTGCCATGAAGGGAGGAGAAGGCAAAGCAAGCTTAGAGTACAACAAGTAATCTATTTTCTGACCTGGGAGGAATATTAGTCTCTTCTGGGGAGACTCTGGGTTGCAGCAGAACGAACAGCATGGCCTCCACAACCCTCAAATGAGCCATGATGGGGAACAGAGCTGCAACTCGCATTGTCGTGGAGGATTTCTCTATCAAGTACAAATCTGCAGAGGGGAGGCGGGACACGACTGAGGACACCTGGAAAAGAAAATTCCCATTTTTTTATGTAAATAAAACTGTAGATTCTGTTCAAATCGCCAAATTTGAAAGAGGATAAATTCCTTACRTCGTTCAAATAAGCAGACACCGTGTATGTTCCTTTCAGGAAACTAGGACAGGYCTGCTCTTGCCAATCTAATACGTTCATCTTACGGTCCACGTGGGCCCAGGCAATTTTCCTAATCCCACCAATTATTGATAATATGGAATTGGCTCCCTGATGAACAAAGAAAAACTCCTTTTGTTTAATTTTACCAAAGACAATAGAAAAAACAAACACTGAATTTAATGCAGTGAAGTCAGACTTTAAAATCTGCAATCCAACAAGAAGCATTAAAAAAGTAATTTGGATTTTATCACAGTGATTATTTAACAAATCGTGTGTTGACCAAACAATATAGGGATGTTGACATGTCGTCAGCAGCTGCTGTCATTTTCTTCCCAAACTGCTGTGACCAGATTTTGCAAGGCTGCTCGGTGTGTTTACTTGTAATTTCCTCCTGCTTCGTTATTTCTACGAATTTCAACAAAGCGTGCTGACGTCAGGTGGTTAGCTGCAGCCTCGGCTTCCAGTTTGTAATTTTTGTTGATGCGTTTTGAAGACACAATTTTTTGAAAGAGGATCAAAGTAAATCACCCAAGTTTTTCTAGTGAACCTTAAAGAGACAAGCTGCCATGTCTTTCTGTGTGGAGTTTGCATGTTCTCCTCGTGCTTGCGTGGGTTTCAAAACATGTACAATAGGTTGCCTTCAGGCCCAGGCCGCCCTTGAAAAAGAGATCTGAGATCTCAGTGGGACTTTAACTGGGTAAATAACGGTAAATAAATAAATAAATTATATTATCTGCCATTGTTCCAAATTTGATAATGATTTGAAACGTCGAAGTATGTTGTTTTTTTTAAAATCCGGAACAGCGCTTATTAGCAAAGTGTGTTGATGCTCGTCGTCATCACTTGACACATTTCACACACTGTCATTGGTTGAGGAGCTTTGTCCACATGGTTTTTAAATAGTTTTAATTTCCTTACTTTCTAAGACACATTAAGTTGATTTGATGCTGCAGTTTGC